AACGAAGAAAACAGGTCTTGGAGTCACTCACTCTGTGACCAGGCCCTTCCAGATCTCAGGTTTCTCATCTGCAAAATGGAGCACAGGTAGAAGGATAAGGTGACACACGTGAGGGCACCTGGTGAACACTTTCCACTGCGTGGTGCACAGCAGCAGGGCCTAGGCTGGGCGTTGGCTGTGGCTCCTGATTCCTAGTTGGTAAAAGGACTCGTCCAGGAGCACATTCTGGGAGTCCTAGGAGCAGAGGCAGAGCTGGAGAGACGGGTGGCATCTTGCTGGGTCCAGCATCCGTCTGTCTACTGGGTATGAAGGGCCTGTGCCTCCCACAGGCATGGAAGAGCACGGGGAAGACGTGAGACATCATGCAGGCTCGGGGTGCTGAGGTCTGCAGGCAACAGGGTGCTGGGACTTTGGGAGTGGGGGAGAGGTCCCTTTGAGAAGGATGGGGTCCTCTGCAGTGCCTGCTAACAGGGGCAGTAGTGAAGCATGCTCTTCAAGGAAGCGAAAATGGACAAGTTTGTGAGCACAGAGGAGACACCCTGGTCCCTGTTATAACTGGACAGAAACTTGATCTCCAGTGTGCATTCTCAAAGGGGCCATGGTGCCCCTAAAGGGGGGAGAAAAAAAATCTTTTTCTTTTTACATATAAAATAGATGTACAGTGTGCATATTGGCTCACACCTGCAATCCCAGGGACAATGGAAGCTGAGGCAACAGGATCTTAAGTTCAAGATTAACCTCAGGAATTTAGCAAGGCTAAGCAACTTAATGAGACGCTGACTCAAAATAAAAAATAAAAAGGGCTAGGGATTTGACTCAGTGGTTAAGCAAGCACCTCTGAGTGGTTAAGTACCAAAAAAAAAATAATAATAATGATAATAAAATAAAAGAAAGAAAGAAAAGGAAAAAAAATACCCCACAGATGTGTAAACCAATACAGTAGTTATTATTTATCCACCATTTAATTTTCTGAGGTTTCAATTACCCACAGTCAACCACATCCCTCAAATATTATTGGTATATTGTTATAATAGTTTTATTCTTTAGTAGTCATTATTGTTACTCTCTTAATGTGCCTAATTTGGAAGTTAAACTTTACCATAAGCGTGTCTGTACATGAGTGAACATGGTGTGTGTGTGTGTGTTATTCAGCACTATCTGTGAACTCAGGCACCTGCAGAACAGCTGGCATCATAACTCCTGCCGTTAAGGGGAGACTATGGTAAACAGCTTATCTGTGGTGTTAACATTTCCAGGGGGGGTTCCATCAGGGAGAGAAACATCTCAATGGCTCCTTGGGGGTCCAATAAGGAAAAAGAAGGACACATCACCCAGGGCTCTGCAGAACTGCACTATGTAGGGAGAAGCCAGTGCCATTTTTTACATGTGCTGTGAACTCACTGGCGTCCCCCAGACTGGTGAGACCCAGGGATAACTGAATTGCATTTTTAGTAACAACAAACCCCAGACTCCTGAGCTCCCTGTGCAAGGCAGGGACATTGCAGCCTTGCCCACGCCCACCACTCTACTGTACCAGGCGGGTCTCTTCTGGAGCCCTGATGCATCCACGAGTCACCCTTGGCTCATTGTGACCTCAGAACTATTTTAAGAAGCTGGCATTTCCCCCCCAGGTGCTGCATGAGAGAACCTGGGAGGACTGGTGCCAACTGTGGTTAGCCTTAATGAGCAAGTCTCTGCTCTTATGCCAGCTTCCAGAATGGCACCTCAAGCCTTCCTTTCTCGCCCTGGCTTCAGCCCTGCAGACACTCTGGTGGATCCGTAATGGCAAGGCAGGGGAAATCGCCCTCCCTCCCCACTCGTGTTTGGGCCAGCAACACTCCCCGGGAGCCTCGCTGCTCCATTCAGCTTGAGTGATCTTAAAATACAGGTTGGATCCTGTCATTCTCAGGCTTAAAACCTCTCTCTTTTTCGAAAGTTCAAAATCTTCATGTCAGGCCTACTTGTGGGTTTTGGAAAGTCAAGTTTATTCCTGTTTCATGGCCTTTGTCCAGACCTCTGCTTAAAATGTTCCTCCTTGTCCCCTGCCCACGTCTGGCTCAAAAGTTTCCCAGAGTTTTCGCTACCCACCCCCGACCACCTCTGCTTGTTCCCGCCACCCTGTTTGTTTCCTCTGTAACACATAGTTGTCGTGCTTTGTAATAGTCGGTTTACTGGTTCATGATTGTTTTTCTTCCCACTAGACTGTTAATTTCCTGAGGGTGGGGACCAGGTCCATCTTGCCCGTTACTATATATTCAACCCCGAGGAGAATGCCCAGCACATACCAGGCATTCAGTAATTATTTGTTGAGTGGGTCGAGCATGCATAAGCAGATGCTGCCCAACAAGAAGGGGCAGGCTGGGACAAACCGAAATGCCAGGGTCAAGGGGCAGGAAGCTGCCTCCTAGGGGGTCTCCTGCCCTAGCACTGCCTTTGAGGATCCATATGGTCAGCTAACAAGAAGAGGCTGAGGACAGAAAGGGTACTGCCCAATGTTTTCCAGGGTTTAGCCCTCCAGGGGCCTGGGGGAATTCCCTGGCTTCATAATCTACCAATCCGAATTGGTAATGATCTAGAAGGATAAGTCGACCCAGTAGACCCACTCAATGAACTGGTAGGAAAGGTGGTTCCTCCTCGGACAGCTCTAACGAGTGCATCCCAAAGGTTGAGAAGGAGGGAAGAGGAGGTGTGGTCGACACTCCTTGGTCCAGTGATGTAAACAGCTCTGGTGGGCTTCTGGGGGACTTTTTACTTTCAGGGCACTGTTTTGACTTCCTTGACATTTCCACGGAAACATATCCTCTCAACTTAACTTGGCCACATTAGTTCATTGTGCTTTTAGTAACACGGGTGGGTTTGGATTTTCAAGGAATTTTTATGGCTTCAATCTCCCTAATTCAGCCAACCAAATTGTCTGTGCAATGCTCTGGGGAAGAAAACAGAAAGAAAAACGTGTCAAATATCTAGTGTATACTGGAACCGTGCAGGACACACACACACACACACACACACACAATCTCATCGACGAGTCACTACCTGTGAAGTAAGCTTTATTATTCCTGTTTTACAAAAGAGGAAACACAGAGTTGAGATTAATAAAATAATTTACCCCAAACCACACTTATTAACTTAAAAAAACCTATCATGAGTTCTTCGACAGAACAGCTTGTGTTTTGAAGTCTGAAGGATATCAGAGAAAACATTTGTAGTTGGATCGAATGTGGATTCCCCACTATAAAATTCATGATCGAAATGGTCTCATGGGAGAGAATTCAGTGCTAATATAGCCAAACAATATCTATCGATCGGCCAGCAGATGTGTGTTGAAGATTAAAGGAATTCAGGGGCTGGAGTGGAAGCTCAGTGGACCAGGAGGCCTGAGTTTAGGTCCACCCTCACTTTTCACACCTTTGGGCTTTTAAGCTGTCCCCTCTAGGCCTCGGTTTCCCCAACAGGGCACCAACAAGACCCTCAAAAAGTTCCAGATTTTGGACATTTTGAGCTTTAGAGTCCCGGATTAGGGATGCTCAACTATTCCCAAATCTGAAGCACTTCTGGTCTTAAGCATTGTGGGAAAAGGATGCTCAATTTGTGTCACTTATCAAGTCCCTGCTAGCTCAGGTGTCCCATCCGTGAATCACTGGTCAGGTCCAAGGCTCACTGTAGCAACCCTGGACCCGCGAGCACCTTTCTTGAATTCTTTCCTGACCAGCATTACCGCATGTCCTGGTTCCAAGCCACAAAATCTCCAGGTCCCATTTCCCCCCTCTATCACCCTCACCCCAGTATTCTTTCCTGTGTGTTGTTCAGATTTCTCTGGTTCTGCCCATCCTGCCTGTCCTCTCCTGCCTGGCCCAGGTTTGCAGTTGCTTTCCAACTGGTCTCTGCCTCTGAGCCTGGGTTCCGGAACAGTCTGTGGGTGCTGCCAGACTGATCCTATTATGAGACTATGACACTCTTCTCGCTGTCCTCCCTCCCTCATGAAGCCACGGCCCTGCTCTTCTAATCCCCCCGGCTCTGGTCCCGACTCAACCTCTCTGACTATTAGTTAATCCCTTGGCCTCGTTCCTTGGTCTATTAAAAATGGAGAGTGGACAAGGTCCTGCTCAAAGTTCCTTTAGTCTAAAAATGCCCCAGCTCTCCCAGAGCCACACAGAGTTGCCGGCAGCCTGGTGTGGACCAACCTCAGCCTGCCTCCTCGCCACGTTGCCAGAGCGTCCTGGGAGCCACTGAGGGTCCGAGAGTGGAGACAGGGGAGGGTCGAGTCCGGTCCATGCTAACTGTGATGCCAGGGATGGTGTTTGACTCCCTCGGCCTGTTCTTCACCTGCAAAAAGGAGAAGTCACCCTTTTCCTGGGTCCCTTAGAGATTTGTTGAGAAGGAGTGACTATATAGAAACAATCTTTCCATTCTTTCTCCCTCCTTCTTCTATCCCTCCCTTTCCCCTTCCCTTTGTCTTTCCTCCCTCCCCTCCTCCTTCCTTCCTTTCTTCCAAATATATTCATCCTATGCACCAGGCACTTTGGTAGACATTGGGTATATTATGATACCAGGCATATCAGATGAACTATGGTAGCCACTAACTGGATGTGGCCACTGAGTACTTGAAACATAGCTACTATGTAGGACTGAGAGTCTGCATCTTTATTGTTTAATTTTAACAAATTTAAGTTTAAATAAACACATAGGGCTGATGGCCTCTATATTGTATGGCATAGACCTAGCTGTATGATGGTAACAGAAGCATTAACAATAAGACCAGTCCGGGCAACTCAGGGAGATCCTGTCTCAAAATAAAATATACACAGAGCTGAGGATGGAGCTCAGCGGTACAGCATTCACCTAGCAAGTAGGTAACCCTGGGTTCAAGCCTCAGTACCAAAAATATTAATGATTAATATTAATCATTAATATTAATTAATGATTCTCCAAAAAGTTAAACATGACTACCATATGACTCAGCAATTCACTCCTACATATACGCCCCCAAAGAACTGCCAACAAGGATTCAAATACTTGGGCCCAGATGTTCATAGTGACCAAAGATGGAAACAACCCAAATGTCGGTGAGTTGGTAGGAGCATGTGGTATAGCCATTGTGTTGGGAAGAACACAGAACGCCTGTTTCTCCTCTGTATTCAGGCCACGATCAACACAAAAGACTTCTGACCCCAGGCACGTGGGGCACCTCCGCAGCCAAGTAAGCAATTCTCCAGCACCAGACACTAGCTGGGTCTCCTCCAGTTCAATTCAGTTCTACCTGAAGGTGGTGTCAGACCAAGGACTCAGTCTCTGAGACTGCTCCCTCTACCATACACACCTGGGTGTGCCACCTGTGATTTCGATCCACCAAGGCTCCCATGACCCTGTCCTTAGCTTTGATTAGTTTGCTTGAGTGACGCCCAGAACTCAGGGTGACACTTCCACTTACCGGTTTATTCTGAAGGATATTAGGAATCACATAGAAGGAGGGATGTGAAGGCAAGGCCTGGGGAGGGCACAGAGCTTCCATGCCCTCTCCGTGGTCAGCCATTGGAAGCTCTCTGAACCCTGTTCTTTGGGGCTTTAATGGAGACTTTATTGCTCAGGCACAATTGCTCATAGGCTGACTGATGACTCTCAGCAAGGCTTGTCCGTTCAGATTCTTCTTGATCTCTCTGTAGAGCATTCCTGCCTCCAGGGTAGGGGACAGGATCCCTGCCCCTGTGTAAAATGAGAAGGGTTTTATGATCTACGACTATTGGACCAGGGTAGGTCCAGGAATTTCTTTTTCTTTTTTTTTTTTTGAGAGAGAGAGAGTTTTTTGATATTTATTTTTTAGTTTTCGGCGGACACAACATCTTTTGTTTGTATGTGGTGCTGAGGATCGAACCCGGGCCGCACGCATGCCAGGTGAGCGCGCTACCGCTTGAGCCACATCCCCAGCCCCCCAGGAATTTCTTTTTTTTTTTTTTTTTTTTTTTTTAATATTTATTTTTCAATTCTAGGCGGACACAACATCTTTGTTGGTATGTGGTGCTGAGGATCGAACCCGGGCCGCACGCATGCCAGGTGAGCGCGCTACCGCTTGAGCCACATCCCCAGCCCCCCCAGGAATTTCTTTATGGCCAGCTCCAAGACAGAAAGGTGGTGGAAGATCAGAGTTTCTGTGACCTGCCTTAGGGAAGAGTAATTCTAGTTTCTGTGGTCCCTCGAGGAGAGAGTTAGGATCCAGCAACCAGGATTAAGATCCAAAATATATAGAGGCCCTAATATCACAACCGTATATCAGGGGATATTAGTCAGCCATAAAAAGGAATGAGGCACTGATTCATGCTATCCCATAGGTGACCCTTGAACATTATGCTAAGTGAGAGAGGCCAGATGCACAGGCCATATGTATATAAAATGACCAGGAAGGTATACCTATAGAGACAGAAAGCAGACTGGTACTTTCCAGGGGCTGAGGGGAAAGGGTCAATGCGAAGTGACTACTTAATGGGTATGGGGTTTCCTTACGGGATGGTTGGAAGTGTTTTGGAACTAAGATGAGGTAATGGTTGCAGAACGCTGTGAATGTACTCAAGGTCACCACGTTGTACCCTTCAAAATGGTCAATTGCATGTTTTGTGAATTTCACCCCAGCCAAATACATACATGGACACATACCGTGATTGTTACTGTAAAGAAAAAATCAAGATGCTTTGGTAGAGAGTGATGGGGAGCCGGGAAGGGACCTTGTGCCCAGGTAGATGAGGAAGGGCTGTGCAGGGTGAGACCTGTGGGCGGGGAGAGAGGTCCTTGTGGTGGCAGCAGTGGGGAACCAGAGTTCTCTATGGAGAGGGAAAATAGCAGGAGCTATGGCCGGAGGGCCAGAGAGCTGGGCAGTTCCAGGTGTTGGGAGGAGGCCTCTGGAGTCATAAGGCACACCATTGCCCCACACCCTGATCATCCCCCAGGATCACTGATAAGGCTGTCCTCCAGCTGGGCTGACATTGGTTGGAAGGGTCCCAGTGTCCTCAGGAAGTATCTTACTCGGAGGGCGTGTTCTCCTCTACCTGCAGGATGTGGGCTCGCTTAACCCCTGAGGACTGAAGACATTCTCTGCTGTAGGGTTCAGCAGAGTGGGGGTGGGGCCACACCTGCCAGGTGCTCTCCTGGCTCCTTTGTCCCTTCCTGCCTGGACCTCAGGGTGTGTCTCCTTCCTCCTAAGGCTTCCCCTTCCCCCCTCAAACAAATGTCGTCCTCCCCTGACAGCCGGCCCAATGACTAACTGTCCCCTCCCTCAGAGCACCTGAGCCACGAAGTCCCAGCTGCTGGGGTCCGTCCCCGGCCAACTCTTCAGCCTGGGGGGCTCCTCTAAAAAGCCAGTGACTCCCTGCTCAGTCACTTCCTGCATCTCTGCAGAGCAGAGAGGAGCCCTGGGCTCGGAGGATGCCCCTTTTCAGAAGGGGAAGGTGGAGAAGCAGCAACGTCAGGGAAAGGGCAGGTTCAGATCTGCCCTGGGCTTTGAAGTCCTGCCTGCCGTCGTCCATGGAGCACTGCCGCTGTGCCCGGTGCGAGGTCAGCAGGTGAGGAAAGACCCAGGAGGACTAGCCAAGGACCAGGGCAGCGGTGGTCGAGTGTGATCGGCAGCAGTTGGCATGTGAGGGTTTGGGTGCTGCTTTTCTTCTTACTAGATTTTGACACCCGCTCTGGGTCAGCGAGGCCAGTCTGCGGCCTCCTCGTTTTACAAGATGAGTCCCAGAGATCGATTTGTATCAAGGCCATCCTGCAGGAGTTAGAACCCCGGGCCCTGGACTCCCACTCGGTCATCTTTCCCCTGCTCTAGTCGGATGCCTCCTGAGGCACCCCACCCCACCCCACCATCACCACCAAAGAGCAACGACCTCAGGCTGGTGGGGGGATTGGAGGAAAGACTAGCCTCAATTCTGGGTGCTTCCTACAGGAATAAGGCTGTCTTTGGCCCTGGAAAGACAGATGTCCAAGCCCCCTGGGCTTGGGTCTTCCGGAAGCGTGTTCTCTGAGCCAGCAGCAGGGTTCCTGGGCTGGCCGAGCCTGCCGCTGGCCCCCAGCTGCCTTGCTCCTGCTGCCCAGGGGTGGACATGGGTCTCGACAAGGCCAGTGGTGCTGAATTCCGGGGAGAGGCCCCGGGGCAGCTGCAGAGAGCTGGACTGTGTCCTGTGGCTCCAACTACCAAGTGGCAAATAGAGAAAGCTAATAGATTCCGTTTTCCCAAGGTCACTGGGGTTCAGGAGGACAAGAAATAGGCAGCCAAATGACACCAGTAAATCAGACATTGTCCTTCACCTGAGTTAGCCAGGCTTACCGTGAATCCCACAGAGTGGATCCCACAGCTGGGCCTTTACCTTTGGTCCTACCTGGCACAGAAAGTGCCAACCTGGAAGGAGATTGCCCGCCCCCACTGTTTTTCTGTCTGGATGTTCCCTGAGTTCACTGAGGAGGTCAGAGATGAGGGGCCACGGTGCTTTGGAGAGAAGCTAGAATCCCCACATTCATGGCTGTGGGCCCATGGCCCTCTGCCCAGCCCTAACTTGAGTTCTCCCCACAGCCAGACTTCAGTTCGGTGAGGGGGGATTTCCGGCCACCACAGCTCCTCATCCTAATTCATCATGACCCGCAGAGAGGCACTTCCCTCTGAACCGCCATGTCTTTATCAGAGCAATGAGCTTCCTGAGAGCGTCTTTATTTCTGGAATTCTCTGGCCCAGCACCAAAGCAGTTGGCATGGGATGCCTGAGAAGTGTGTCCATCTCCTGCCCCAAGGAATGTGGTGCCCCCTGCCTGGCCGTTCATGCTCCCACCTTCTTTCTGGGTATGACCACCATGATAGGAAATCCATCCTGCAGCCAGAGGCCTGGGGGGTCCATTTTAGGTGGACTTTGTAGGTATTATCTGAGAGCACATGGGCAGCCAGGCTTAGCCTCGGGCCACCATTCTGCCCCCATCACAAACAGACACCTATCTCCCCCTGAGGTTTAATGATTAGCATCAGGGGAGGGAGGGTCAACAGCCCCTGGACCCAGGCCAGAAGCAGCAGGCCAGGTACTGATTTACAAAGCACCTTCCCTGCATTACCTCTGCATCAAAGTGAGTTGGGAGGTCTTATCTCTACTTCGATCAGATGAAGTAGCAGTGGAATACTGGGTAGACCTGGGTCTGCGTCAGCTCCTTGGACTTGTGCCGGGCTGCCATCAGGGGAATCAAGGACGTTGTTTCCTAAAGTGCTGATTCAAGAGCACAGGACGCACAACCAAAGGGTTTCTATCTTCTACTGCTCTTGTTTAAGGACTTGGGGTCTGGCTCCTGACCCTGTCCTCAGACCCTGTCCTCAGCCTCCACCTCTGGCCATCATCAGTGGGGACTTCCATTCCTAGTACGATCCGCCTCGTATGGGAGTCCTATGTCTTCCATCCCCCGACCCCAGCTGCACACCTTCGGGTCTCTGCGTGAGAGCACCATCTGGAATCACCAGCGTCAAGGCTGGGGTCGTCCTTCCCAGACAAACTCCTCAGTCCCTCTCAGTGTCTCTGGGCCTCCTGGCTTCACCCATATGCATGTCACACTGAACTCACCTGCACCTCGGGTGCACGGACAGATCTGCTCATTCTCTGTCAATCAGATTTTAAAACGTGTTACTGTCCATCTCTATTTGATTTATGGTTCTGCAGAAAGGGCCACTTGAATGAATTGCATAAAACAAGACCAAACAAAGGTCTCCAGCTGAGGCCAAGGCCCTGGTGGGTCTGGGAATTGCCGCTAGCCCCCACACTTCCCCAGCTTCCCTCTCTCAGCATGATTTCCAACTGCCTGGCTGCCCTGGTCTCTCTGCTTCCTTCTTTCCTACGTCTGAGACTCTTCTGAGGAAGAGTCACCTCCTAGACCTGTAGCTGCCCCTGCCCAGAGCAACAGCCGCTGAATGCATTGGCTACACTCCTCGGGAACCCCAGGGCTGAGAAGAGCCTCACGGAGGGCAACCACCTGGCTCAGAAGAACAAGATACCACCTTCCGCTACAGCTAGGAGGACAGGAGAGAGGACATAGGGAAGCAGGGGGCCATGTCACCCACTGCTAAGGGCACTCGGCCTGGATTCTGTGCTGCCATATCCTGAGACCCTGAGCATCCCGCGTGGAGGCCGTGTGTTCTGAACTTCCCCTGGGCATGACGCTCCCTTAGGCTCAGTACCACCGAGTTCTCTTCTCCTCCAGTCTGCAAATAGCTGGCCTGGTCACTGACATGTCAGTGACAAGGGGAAAGAGATGATTGTGCCCCTTAGTCGTTCCCAGTCCAGTGAAGAAGGTGGAATATCGTCAGTCCCAGTACATGATAGGAGCTGTGGTGTGGGAGGAGGAACCTGCAAAGATGGTGCTCCACTGGCTCTGTGAAGATGAGGGGCAGTTTGTCAGCTAAAGAAATAGGGAAGAAAGAATGTTCTGGACAGAGGCATTTCAAGAGCAAGGCACAGAAAACATCATGGAGCCCTAAACTCCCCATACACAGTGTCCTGATGGAGGGAAAATGTTTGAGACTTTACTCATCCATGAATCCCGTGCTTGGAGGATCACTCACTACATAGAAAGCTCTGTACAGGGAGCACAGGGGCCAGAATCCAAGCATAAATTAGTCTCTGCCCTCAAGGACACCCAGTGTGTCAGGAGGAACCAAGGGGAAGCAAGTAGCTGAGGATTATGGGATTTTCTATATAGACGGAAACTTCCAGATGATCTGGTGCAGTTTCCTGCAAGAGGTGAATAACTTTCCCAAGACAGAAACCCAGCTTCTGGGAGAGCCTGGATCAGACTCAGCTCTTCAGATCTGCTCCCCAGACCCCTTCCCTTACTCGGGGTAGTGGACACCACAACGGGAATTGTTGGCCAGCCTTGGGAACTGGGAGGAGAGTGCAGACTAGGTAGCCTGTGGATGATATGCCCAGGAGCTGGGCCTTGGAAGCCAGGAAGGGCACCTATGTGCATGCCTAGGACAAGGCTGTGTCCAGTAGCCGTGAGACACAGGAGGCAGAAGGGGGCCACCAAGAGCCAAGGCTGGGATGAGAGGGTGGGCCTGTTGACCTCATAAGAAGTCACTTCTTTATTTCTGAGTAAGGAGGAAATGAAGAGTCACTAAACAGCATCGTAGGATCAGAGCTGTGTCTTCCAGATAACTCTGGGGCAGGCACTGGACAGAGTGAGGGAGAGAGGACAGACCAGAGGGAGGGAGGCCACGGTGGCCGTGAGGTCCAGGTCAGAGATGAGGAGCACAAGGATGCTAGTGGCTTTGAAGTGGTAGAAATAATTGAATGACATGACCGGGGAGTGCAGAGGGACAGCTGGGACCAGTTAATCATTGTCCAGGAAAGACAAACAGATCCAACAGAGGATTGCCACTGCCACCTGTCCGCTGTCACTAGTCCTTCCAGGTCTCCACCTCACTGGGTTTCAGCCACCTCGCTTGGCTTCTGTTCCGATGCTCCTGCCTGTAAACGCTGCTCCAAGATGGGAGGACTCTGGCTTTGAGCCACCTGATGCTTCCCTACTTGGCCCAAGTCACCCCCCCGGCCCATAGATACCATCCACTCAGGTCCTCTTCTCACGTACTCACCTGTCATCAAGATCCAGCCCCACACTTACCAGTGGGAGGGGGCCCCCAT